CAATTGCGCAAGCGAAATGAAAGAAATAATTTTGGATGTTCATTTTATGAAGCAGAAAAATCGGCGAGTAATTTTTCAATGTGGAGATAGAGCGCGGCTGACATCAGAGCGTGTCGTTTTGTTTACGGTGACCCTTCCCCCTCAGATTCGGCCAAAAATTGGACGAAAAAATTGCATAAAAAATATACGTGTGATACGGCCTTTAGAATGTATCCTAGGTTTTATACCTTGATATATATAGAAGGTATTATGTATATAATTCTGTTTAAAATTACATGTGTTCATAAAATATTACAGTAGTTTTCGCAAATTATATTAAAATATTCACTACAAAAACTCGAAAAATTATTCATATTAAAATTTCTTTTTTCCAATTTTTCAGTTAAAATTCCTGAACACGAACGAAATGATATTACATAAATAGTGTTTAGTTGAAAAGTTTTTTTTTCTCTGTGTTTAACTTTATAAGAATAAATTTATTTCAATCTTGTGATTTTCAAATCATGGTGATAAAAACTAACTCTGTATACTATTTCTACCCTATCTATTCTAGCTCATTTTCACACACAGGTCCGTTTCTCTTTAAATATTTATTTTTAATTATTAATTTACAGGTACAGTAGCTAATAATTATAATTTATTGTAAAAAATAAATTTTAAAACGTTTCGTTTCTTCACGTCACAGGGATATGGATCTGCAATAGATCCTCCATCCTCTATCTGATAAGTATTTTGGCGCTGACAAGTGGAAAACCTGAGTGGGAAAAAAAAATTCACTGAGTTTGGTAGGGCAATGCAGGCGAATGACGTCACAGTCTGGGGGTAGTAGTCTTCTGATTTCGGTGGGAAAAATGTCCTCAGAATTTTGACAGTCAACTGGGAGCTGTAGTGTAAACACTATCATTAGTTGATAGCAATAAGTGAGAAAGCTCTCTAATGGCTGCCATGAAGTTGGGGAAATTGAAATAAGAGATTGCTTGCTTGGTGGGTGCAGCGATGAGAAAAATTTTAAAAGTCAAGAATTACAAAAATTAAAGATAAAAATATTTTTAAAACGTATACGACAGTTAATTTATGTAGGAACGCGCGCGGAAGGGTGAATTTTCTTCAAACTATATTTTGCATCCAATAGATTTCTCCTCCATACTCAAGGGCTCCGGTAGCCCAGTGGTCAAGGTATCGGATCATGGCAGGCATGTCATGAGTTCGAGCCCAGTACCACTGAAACCCGCCGTGTAGGGCAGCGATACACGTTAAATACACTGCTAGCCACTGTAAATGCAACACCAAGAAAGACAAGAGATAGCACAACAAAATTTATTTTGTAGATAACATGTTGATCAAGTATCAAATGATAAAATTTAAACACTTCTGTGAAGTGTGGTTCCTGCCAGAATCAGTAGCCAGTGTAGACACCATTTCTGGAGACCACCGCTGCCACACGCCTCGGCATTGATTCAAAAAGACTTTGGATGTGTTCTTGGGGTACAGCAGACCAAGCAGCTTCCACACGTTGTCTAATTTGATCTGGAGTGGCAGCTGGGGATGTAATCTGGGTCAATCGTTGAGCAACCATGGAGCACATGTTTTCTATCGGCGAAAGATCCGGAGAGTGAGCCGCGGCCAAGGAAGCAATTCAATCTGGTGATTGACGAAGAACTTTGGACATTGCGTGCCACGTGTGGTCGCGTATTATCCTGTTGAAATATGACGGTGACCAAGCCCTGAAGGTAAGGAAGGACAACTGATTCTAACACCTCGGAGATGTAGCGCTGACTGTTTAAAGTACAGTACCGCGGCAATGCGTACTAGAAGAGTGCGAGAGTGATATCCAATATCGCCCCCTACCATAATACCCAGTGCAAGACCAGTGTGGCGGTGCATAACACAGCTGTTCAGCATCCTCTCTCCATGGTGTCTCCAGACTCGAATCCGACCATCGTGGTGTTGCAGACAGATGCGTGATTCCTCAGTAAAGACAACTTCATTCCATTGTGCCTTCCTCATCCTTCTTTCATCGCACCATTGGCGGCGGAGACGTCTGTGGTTCTGCG